CCCAAGCAGCCCCTTCCAGGCTGGAACTCTGCCAGCCTGCAAGGAAAAAGTCAGTTTCCCACGTGTTTCTCCTTTGAAGAGAAACTTTTTTTTTTAAGTTTGCTTGCAGCCCTTCCATATATTCTTGTAACCCACTTTTGGGTCATGACCCACGGGTTGAGAAACGCTGCTGTATAAGCATCTATTCCTGCTACTGTTGGAGACGGGATACTGGGCTAGATGGACCATTGGTCTGACAGTGTGTCACTTTTATTTTATTAGGGGTACAATTAGCTAGAATTTTTATTTAAAATCTTTTGGTTCCTAATAGAATGTACTACAGAGGAACTTAAACCACTTGGTCTGTAGTCTGTGCCATTCTACTTGCTGTTTGTCACTTTTTTTTCTTTTTCCTTCATTCTTCAGAATCTGAATGTACTGGAGACAAATCGAAACCTACCATTGCTACTACAACTGCCAGGCAGACTACTAGCCAGGTGCCTACCACTACTAGTCTAGCACCAACCACACTGCCACAGAACCCAGCGGTTGGTAAATACAATGTGACTGGTAAAAACGGGACCTGTGTACTTGCTTCTATGGGGTTGCAGCTTAATGTATCCTATGAAAGGAAAGACGGAAAGGTATGTGTTCTTTATTCTTGCCTTCAAACCTAAAATTCTTTCTTATATTGAGAGCCAGCATAATTATTTTAGGTGCCCTATACTTCATTTGTAGACAGAACTGTAGTATTTAATCATGGTTTTGTTTCAGTTCAGTTGGACTATTTGTTTTTTTTAGTTCATAGTACAAGTATTCAGAGACTGTAGAACAAGTACAAACCAGTCATAAATGTGTTTTATTTTGTTTTTTCCCTTGGTGTGTCATAAGCAGGCCACAAAAGAAACTTAGAGGCATGTCTGTTTCCTGTTGGATGTCACAAGAAATCAGTGTCTTGAAAGCCTCTTCTGCTCACTTCTCATGCATCAAATGCCAAAGAAGTCATGTTGGTGTGTTTAAGTGCATGTTTGGTGCTACTTGCATGCACGCAAGTGGTGCTGGGCATAACCAGTGCTCCTCTAATAGTGGATAGATCACCCTTTTATCAGCATGTGTTTTACATAGAGCAGGAGTGAGTGGAGGACGTGTTGCATGACACTTTCTTATGCCATCTGAAACCAATGTGAACAGGGCCTACCTGTTTCCACTTTATTTAGGATGGTAAATATGCCAGAGCCTCAAATTCAAATGCAATACATTTCACTAGACCATGGAAATAGCAAACAGTTAAGAACAGCAGAGGTGAATCACGGAAATAGGCAATGAAGACACAGCTTAAATTTGCCTCGTTACTACCAGACTGAATTGTGGTATTTATCTGAATAAGAACAAACTTTCAAATTCTCTGAGAGAGAATAAGTGACAACTAGACTGTTGGTTGTTTCTTTGGGTATTGTTAAAGGGCCCCAAACCATTCGAATACAAGATTTCCGATTACGAGTTTTCAGTTTCACACAGCTTTAGTCAACCTGGATTAATTTTTAGCAGGTGGAATTTTAGTCTGTACAGAATTACTAGGCGTCCTAATAACTAGCACTTTGCCACAGAAGCTAGAGGTTCTTTCCATTTGTCCTTACTTAGCCTGGCATCCCATCCCTCCTCCTCCTCCTGTGAAGCTCTGCTATCAGACCTGTAGGTTCCTGCATAGGCACCTAGACCCATGGTGCTCAACCCTGTTGGCCCTGCAGGCCAGATAAGTGGTGCAGGGCCTGTCTGGGCCAGATGGGGTCTGGGGGCCTGGCACCACCCCCTCCTGCCCCCTGCATCCTGGGATTGGCTCATGGGGTCTGGTACCAACCCCACCCAACCCTGTGCACCGGGATCAGACACTGGATCCAACCTGCAGGGCTCGAGGCTCTCCAGGGTCTCGAGATTTGGCAGCAGGGGAGCAGTACCACCAAATTTCTAGACTTATCTGGCCTGTGGGGCTCCCATGACATGATGCTGTGGACTGGATCTGGCCTGTGGACCAGGGGTTGAGTACCCTGACCTAGACCATTTAAAAAAAAGATGGCTGGTTTTGCAGCAGGAATGCCAGTTTGAGGGAGGTGGTTGTATTCTGACAAAGTGGAAAGGTTCATTGGTGAGATCAAAAGCTACAGATTTTTCAGAGCCTCTTGGTTGAAGGTTGCTCTGAAATAAGAAGCAGAGGAAAGGGCATTCAGGCAAAACCTAAGTACAACCTCAGTTTTTATCGGCTCTAGTGTCTGAAGCAGAGGGGTGGGCTGCAAACTTTCACTGGAAAGTCTGAAGAGCTGGTCACAAAATAACTTAAAAAGCCTACAGAATGCAGCAGCCGGTCCCCTGGCCCTGTCTGGGGTCACGTGGTTTTATCTGAAGAGTTATAGGTAACATGGTGTAGTGCTGAAAACAGTGAACTTGGCTGGAAGGGGAAGTATGTGAACCAGAGTGGGGCAGATGGTGGTTTGTTGACTTGTGGGGAAATATGCTGCAGCAACTTTAGGTGTAGGTTACCACTCTGCTCTGTGCAAACTAATTAGCTAATTCTACAACATTAAATTCTAGCACTAATTTTTCTAACCTACCAAATGATGGGAAGTTTTAAATGGCTGGTTGTGTGAGGGAGTTTGTCAGTCAGGCCTACCAACCTGTCAGAGCCCTGGTGGTATGCTCTTCCTCATTCTCCTAGCTCTAGGGAGCTTTGGATGGGTCTAAAATAGCATAGTCATTTTTTGCCTTTTATCTTGACAATATTTGAGCTTACTTCAAGGATGACATGGGTGTTAATTTTTAGGTAGCTTGACAAAAACAAAAGAATTCTCCCCAGAAGGCTTGTGCAAGTGCCCTTCTAAGCCAGTTCAGATGGCTTCAAACAGGGGTGGCCAGTCTGTGATGCATGTAGCACAAGCAGCCTCTGGATGCGTCATGCATCTGGCTGGGGAGGAGATAGGCAGCATAGCTGCAGATATGGCAGGAATTGCAATGCAGAGCTGCAGATCAGGCAGGGGAAGGGGATCTGAGTGACACTCAAGAAAGATGCAGAGGGCCTGCCTAAAGGGTTAGCCCTCACTCACTTAAAACATCTAGCCCACAGTTAGTTGTCAAAACAGGAGTGTCTGAAATAAATGTCAGAGTGTGCATGTGATACAGTTCAGCATTTTAAAATGAGTACAGGTTTTACTCGCTCTGTGCTGTACATGTGTTCCTGGAAAATGGCTCATAACTCAAACTCATATAAAGGGAACCCACTTTACAATGTAACAAATAGGGATA